ATAAACCAGTAAGGAACTGGTTTGATCCCAGTTCATTGGGGTTAATGGCGCTGCTGCCCCCAGTGGTCGTTAGGGGAATTGCAGCCATTAAAACACCAAACCAGTATAAACCAGTTCATCCCAGTTCACCCCAGTACATCCCAGTTCATTCCAGTAAACCCCCAGCAACCCCACACCAGTATAAACCAGTATAAACCAGTAAGGAACTGGTTTGATCCCAGTTCATTGGGGTTAATGGAGCTGCTGCCCCCAGTGGCCGCTGTGGGAATTGCACCTTCTAAAACATCAAACCAGTTCATCCCAGTTTATCCCAGTTCATCCCAGTAAGCCCCCAGCAGCCCCACACCAGTATAAACCAGTATAAACCAGTAAGGAACTGGTTTAATCCCAGTTCATTGGGGTTAATGGCGCTGCTGCCCCCAGTGGTCGCTGTGGGAATTGCAGCCATTAAAACGCCAAACCAGTATAAACCAGTTCATCCCAGTTCAGCCCAGTTCAGCCCAGTACATCCCAGTTCATCCCAGTAAGCCCCCAGCAACCCCACACCAGTATAAACCAGTATAAACCAGTAAGGAACTGGTTTGATCCCAGTTCATTGGGGTTAATGGCGCTGCTGCCCCCAGTGGCCGCTGTGGGAATTGCAGCCATTAAAACACCAAACCAGTATAAACCAGTTCATCCCAGTTCATCCCAGTACGCTCCCAGTCCCTCCCAGACCCCTCCCAGTACAAACCAGTACAAACCAGTAACCCCAAATCCCCATTTTCCCTCCATTTTTAACCCTTTAACCCCCTCCCAGTCCCTCCCAGTTCCCACCAGTCCTTCCCAGTCCCTCCCAGTCCCCTCCCGCTCCCAAACCAGTACAAACCAGTACAAACCAGTTGCCGGGGCAGCCCCCAGCCGCAGACGGCGCACTCGCAGCGCAGGCGCCTGCGCAGGACGGCCCGGTCGGGGCAGGACCCCACGGCCTCCACCAGTTCAACCAGTAAAGGATCCGAACTGGGAGCCGCCAGCAGCCCCAGGCCCAGCTCCCGGCCCAAACTGGCCACCAGTAAGGCCCGGCCCCAACTGGCCACGGGGCAAGTGGCCAAAATCTGACGGACGAGGGCCTGAGGGGGAAAAAAACCAGTAAAAACCAGTAAAAACCAGTATAAACCAGTATGGACCAGTATAAACCAGTATGGATCAATATAAGCCAGTATAAACCAGTTTAGCCCCTTTTTCCCCCATTTTTTCCCCATTTTTGGTGCTCCCGGTTGGTCTCCCTGGCACAAGATTCCGGTACAAACCAGTATAAACCAGTATAAACCAGTACAGACCAGTACAAACCAGTATAAACCAGTTTAACCCCTTTCTCCCCCATTTTTTCCTGTTTTTAACTAATTTTTCCCCATTTTTTCCCTATTTTTTCCCATTTTTGGTGTTCCCAGTTGGTCTCCCTGGCACAAAATCCCAGTATAAACCAGTATGGACCAGTATAAACCAGTACAAACTAGTATAAACCAGTATAAATCAATTTAACCACTTTTTTCCCCTTTTTTTCCCGTTTTTTACTAATTTTTCCCCATTTTTTTTCCTATTTTTTCCCATTTTTGGTGTTCCCAGTTGGTCTCCCTGACACAAAATCCCAGTATAAACCAGTATGGACCAGTATAAACCAGTATAAACCAGTACAAACCAGTATAAACCAGTATAAATCAACTTAACCACTTTTTTCCCCTTTTTTTCCCATTTTTTACTAATTTTTCCCCATTTTTTTCCCTATTTTTTCCCATTTTTGGTGCTCCCAGTTGGTCTCCCTGGTACAAAATCCCAGTATAAACCAGTATGGACCAGTATAAACCAGTATAAACCAGTACAAACCAGTATAAACCAGTATAAATCAATTTAACCCCTTTTTTCCCCATTTTTAACCAATTTTTCCCCATTTTTTCCCACTTTTTTCCCATTTTTGGTGTTCCCAGTTGGTGTCCCTGGCACAAAATCCCAGTATGAACCAGTATGGACATGTATGGACCAGTATAAACCAATATGGACCAGTATAAACCAGTATAAATCAATTTAACCCATTTTTCCCCTATTTTTCCCCATTTTTTCCCAATTTTTCCCATTTTTAGTCCTCCAAGTTGCTCTCTCCCGCACAAAATCCCAGTATAAACCAGTATAGACCAGTATGAACCAGTATAAACCAGTATCATCCAGTATAAACCAGTACAAACCAGTATAAACCAGTAAAGAAAAACACAAAACCAGTATGGACCAGTAAGCCCAGAACTCCCTCCCAGTTCAAACCAGTAACCCCAAACCCATTCCCAGTACAAACCAGTAACCCCAAACCCATTCCCAGTA